AGCTATTTCTGCATGGTCGTGCATGAGGCGCCAGCCCAGAGCAGGCAAAGGGGACGCGCTGCACGGCTACCAGGTTAATTCCCCCAAGGTTCCACTTTCCTGTTTGCATTCCCTGCGTCAGGAAATGTCCGTCATCTTGTAACACCTCGGAAGGCTGATGAACAGCAGCCCGTGCTGCGAAGGACACTGCGCCGGGGGAAAGGACACTTACTCTGCCACGTAAACGGGCACCTGCAGAATAGGATCTGAAAAAGAGAGCGAAACGTCGACGTCAGCGGGACGGGGACAGCGTGGCGGGGTTAGCGACGCTGGGTTCTGCGCTGATTTGCATGGCGGACCAGGAATAGCCCCTGCTGGCGGCGAGTCCTGGCGAACGGGCTCCTCCGGGCAGCGGGGCCGGCCGCGCTCCGGGCACATCCAGGCGCCTGCGGAACCGCCGGCTCCAGGACCCCGAGCGCGATGGGAGCTGGAGGCTGCCCCTGCACCCCCAGCTGGGGACAAACCCGGGGACCGGCAGCCCCGGCCACCACCCTGCTGGGTTGGCACTCACCGTCCTTCAGGGTCCACTTGATGTCACCTGTGCTCTTGCTCACAGCATGGAAGTTTCCATCGAGAGTGGATACAAAGAGCAGCGTTTCTGGGACCGTCACGGCGCTGCCAGTGAGGCACTATGGACAAAAACGTGGGCCTGAGAGGGGGACTAGGGCTGAGGACCAACCCCTGTGCTGCTCGCCAGATGCTCACAACAACATGGAGCAGGGAAGAGAACCCAGGGGGCCCTTCTGTCCTAGGTGAGCCAGGAATCTCGGGGCGCTTCCCAAGCCCCTTCACAGTTTGCAGCTGAGCTCTTGGGACAGGCTCCTACCAGACCCAGAACACGCCTGTTTTTCCTTCTAAACCTGCAGGTTTCAACCTGTGACCCGCAAGCCCCTGGCAGAGGCTGTGCACAAAGGTAACAGCTAACACAAAAGCTGGGTCCCCATAGGGAGCGGCTGCCGAGCGGCCACCTTTCCTGGGCGCCCGTCTAGGAGGTGACGCAGGAGCTCGGCCACGGCGCCGCAGGCAGCAAACGGGTCGGGTG